GAGTTGGCCTTCACAGGTGCGCGGCGCGGGCCCTGTGGTCGGGGGGGGCGGGAGGGGGGCTGGGGGCACCGCCCAGCGCCAGCGCGCCACGGGAGAGCGGAGTCTGGCCTGATCCCCGCAGACATGACCAAGGAGGACAAGGCTTCCAGCGAGTCGTTGCGCCTCATCCTGGTGGTGTTCTTGGGTGGTTGCACGTTCTCGGAGATCTCAGCCCTCCGGTTTCTGGGCAGAGAGAAAGGTAAGAGAGAACAGAAAGAGGGACCTGGGGGACACAGGGCGGTGCTCAGAAGGCTTCCCGACTTCCCGACGGGCCTCTGGGCGGGTCCCGCAGTCTAGCTGTGGGTTCAAGTGCAGGGAGCCCAGTTCCACCACGCGCAGCAAGTCGTCGTGCCCAGGAGCGTGGCACTGTGTCTGTAACCTGCTGCTCTGGTCCAGTCAGGGCTGTGGAACTGGAGGGCTGGCCGGGGCTCGTTGTGGGGGCCTCTGATCTGCTCTTAGTCACGTGTGCTGGTGCTTTTGACTCCATAGGGTACAGGTTCATTTTTCTAACAACGGCGGTCACAAACAGCGCTCGCCTTATGGAAGCCATGAGTGAGGTAAAAGCCTGACGTCCTCCCTGCTGGTGGTGACGTCTTCCCTGGACACGTTTCCCTACGGGATGCAGGAATTTGGTCCCAGCTGCTAACCAAGTGTCTGCCAACTACCCTACTAAGAGCCGGGGAACTCAGAACTGACTCGGGATTTAGAGAAATTATCTGAGGAGAGCGCTCACTTCCGGCCCCCAGGATACGTGTCTGTTTTGTGTATGAAGTAAAGCTTGTGCTGGAAAGATAGGAGGAGGGAGAGGTACCGTTTAGTAAGTCCTGTGTGAGTATCATTGCAAATAAAGCCTCTACTCTCCAACGTCATGTTTAGTTCTCAACACGCACTTCTGTCTTCTTAGCGAAGCAGAGGGGCTTCATGGGTTCTGTGGTCTGGACTCTGCAGTAGCTCTGGGCCTGGTCTGCTTCTCTCCTGAAACTTGCCCTGTACCAGAGTTTCCTCAACTGTAAAATGAGGGGGATCGATCAGATAGGTGATCAGTAAGCACCCTTCCAGTTCTAAAATTCTGCAGTTCATTATACTTTATGAGTAAATTTTTGCCCAATGTGGGGCTCGAACTCATGACCCTGACGTCAAGGGTCATACGCTCTACCAACTGAGGCAGCCAGGTAGAGCTTATATTTTAGAAAAGATGAGTTTGTTACTGTTTAACTTCAGAAGGCACTTCAGTATTAAGCATTTGTCTCTTACCGCAGAATGAAGGATTGTGTCCCATTAGAGCAAGCAGAGGCATCAGCAAACGGTGGCTCCTAAAAAGGTCACCAGTGCCCCCCCGCCTTAACTGCTGATTTTAGTGGCCTTTCTCTCCCTTGACCTTTTAAAAATTGTGAACTGTAACCACATCCATCAGTCTCTTTTTGGTCCTCCTCTAACTTGACGTCCCTGATAACCACTTTTCCTTTCTTCTGTTCAGCTTCCGTGACACTCTTTTGTTGTCTTCCTGTGGTCTCCTGGGTTATGCGTCTGTCTCCTTGGATTACTTGTCTCTGCCTATCCCCTCTCTGTCCAGATGTCAAGCTTTCATCTTCCTGCTGAGCTTCAAACTAGTATTTCCAACTTGGTCGTTCCACAGGCCCCTCAAACTCAACGTGTCTAAAAAACTCTCAAACTGAGCCTCTTGTTCTCACTTTGAATCCCGCAATCATCTGCTCCTCTTCCTGTATTCCTGTAATTCACATCTTCATCATCTACCCAAGTTTTGTTCATGAAAGAAATTCTAACCTTGACCTCAGATGTTTTCTTTTATGTGTGTTGCCGTTTTTTTTTTAAAGATGTATTTGAGAATGAGAGAGAGAGAGCATGAGCAGGGGGGGAGGGTCCGAGGGAGAAGCAGACTCCCCGCCGAGCAGGGAGCCCGATGCGGGACTCGATCCCGGGACTCCAGGATCGTGACCTGAGCCGAAGGCAGTCGCTTAACCGACTGAGCCACCCAGGCGCCCCTGTTTTATTTCTTTTCTTTTTTTTTTTTAAAGATTTTATTTATTTATTTGAGAGAGAGAATGAGATAGAGAGAGAGAGCATGAGAGGGGGGAGGGTCAGAGGGAGAAGCAGACTCCCCTGCTGAGCAGGGAGCCCCATGCGGGACTCGATCCCGGGACCCCAGGATCGTGACCTGAGCCGAAGGCAGTTGCTTAACTGACTGAGCCACCCAGAGCTTCTTAACTGACTGAGGCGCCCTCAGATGTTTTCTTTTATCCCCCACATTCAGCTGTGGACCCACTACCCATTATTTCTAAATGCTTCTGGCTCCTCCTGCCCTCACCACCCCCATGTCAGAGATCCTTAATATTTTTTGCCTGGGCTTTTGCAAGACTGTCCCTCCCAGTCCCTCGGCTTCCTATCTGCCACTTACTAAAAGAAAGATCCAAATCTGTGTTGTTGGATCCTCAAAACTATTCTTTCCATAGAGGAGTGCTGTGTCAGTGCATATTCCAAGGAAAATGCGTACTTCAGGTATCCAGCTAGAATTTTTACAATTTTTATGTCAAGCTATTGTGTAAGATCAAAGACACTGCTGAGAGGGCCGTTAGTCTGTATAAAGAATATGTGGCAGTCAGACGACGATCCTGTGACCAAGGAAATAGACCGTGGCAGCACACTGCACTTGCGTTCTAGAACAATGCTGTCCAATCCTGTAACAGGGTCCTGCTCAAACACACATCACAGTGTTTTACATGCTGAGTACATGCTCTGAGTGGATATCTTCCAATGGTTCTATGACTTCGTTGGCTTCAGAACTACAGTGCGAAGACATGATAGCAAAATTATCTTATCTCTGGGTACTTATGATGCTGGCTCTGTGAACATGACTGAAGATTGCAAGTTTTTGAAGCTTTCTGAATAACTCTCAAGTTAATCAACAAAGTGCAAGTAAATTTAAAAAGTGTCTACGGCTCACTCCATCAGCCGTTGGAATGTTTGGTGTGCTGCTGACGAGTTAAAGGGTGTTGAAAGCTCCAGTTAAGGGGCGCCTGGGTGGCTCAGTCGTTAAGCGTCTGCCTTCGGCTCAGGTCATGATCCCAGGGTCCTGGGATCGAGCCCCACATTGGGCTCCCTGCTCAGCGGGAAGCCTGCTTCTCCCTCTCCCACTCCCCCTGCCTGTGTTCCCTCTCTCGCTGTCTGTCTCTCTGTCAAGTAAATAAAGAAAAAATCTTTAAAAAAAAATAAAAGTTTAAAAGGAAAAAACTCCAGTTAAGTCCTTCTGAAAGAGAGAAACATAGTCCTGCAGGTGAAGCAAACAAGCATCCTTTACTTTTTCTTCATGGAAAAGGCAAATGAAAAGGAGTCACAGAAGTCATAGATGGCCAATACACTGAGGGAAAATGTGCAATTTCAGCTATAAACCAGCAAGTGCAAATCAAACAAGGGAATGACACTTTCTGCCTGTGAAACTAGCAGAGATTTAAAAGGACAGTAATACTCAAGAGCTCTTGAGGGTGAGAGGCTTCCATAGTGGGAACGGCAAATTAATTCAATCCTTCTGGAAGGAGTGTTCAGTAGCTATCTTCTAGGAATCAAATGTAAGAAAATAATGCAAGATGCGATTTATGTCTGAAGACATTTGTAAAAATTACAGTCTAAATATCCATTGATGGGGCGCCTGGATGGCTCAGTCGGTTGAGAGTCTGCCTTCGGCTCAGGTCATGATCCCAAGGTCCTGGGATCAAGTTCTACATCAGGCTGGTTGCTCAGCCTCTGCCCCTGGCTTGTGCTCGCTCTCACTCTCTTTCTCTCAAAATAAATAAAATCTTTTTTTTTTTTTTTTAAGATTTTCTTTATTTATTTGTCACAGAGAGAGAGCACAGGCAGGTAGGCCGAGGGAGAGGGAGAAGCAGGCTCCCTGCTGAGCCCGGCGCCTGATGATGCGGGTGCTCGATTCCAGGCGGCTGGGATCATGACCTGAGCAGAAAGCAGACCTTTAACGGACTGAGCCACCCAGGCGCCCCAAAATAAAATCTTAAAAAAAAAAAATACACACTGATAGCAAAGCAGTTCAATTACGAGATACCTCCAGCCACAATATCATGCAACTGAATCACTGGAAAACAAAGCTATATATAAGCATTTAGGGATGTAGCATATATTCAGAGAAAAAAAGGATACAAAAGTGCTTTGATGTCGATTATGAGTTTTAAAGTTTTCGGATAACTATATAAACCCCTGTAATTTGAAAGAACCATGCCTAGGTGATCTCCATTTGTGTGCCAATCATGTGACCTGGGCAAGTCCCTCACGCCTTTCAGAGCCGGTTCTCTCCTGCGTAAAATGGCGATAATACCGAACGGGGCTGTCGTGGAGATTAAATGGGATCGCTCTCTAGAAAGGTGCCGGGCCCGTGAGCAGGGACGCAGCGTTCCTTCCCTTGCCCTCGAGGGCACGACTTCCCGCACGTGGGGAAAGGCTGCCACCAGAGATCAGCTCCAGGCCATCTGCCTGCGCGAGGGAAACGAGTTAAAGCGTCGGGCTTTCCCGCTGAGCCCTCTCCCGCCCAGCCGGCTGGCTGCGGTTCTCGCCCCTTCCCGGCGGCCTCCGGGTGGCGGCCAGAGCTTCGAATCCAAACAGTGCCGGGACGGGGTGTGGCCCGCACGCCGCAGCTGGCGCGGGGCGGGGCGGGGCGGGGCTGCCCTCCAGGCTCAGGCGAGACCCGGCGCGGGCGCAGACAGCGACCCCACCGCCAGTCGGAGAGCGAGCGTTTCCCACGCCCAGCGCGCGAGCCCGAGCCCCGAGCCCCGGAGCGCCGGGACCCAGTGCGCGCTCGCGGCTCGCCGCCGGGGGCGGGGCTTGGCGAGGAGCGACGGGTCAGGACGCCAATCGCGGGGCTGCTCCGCCTTCGGGCTCGGTTTGAAATTCCGCGGTGACCTAACGGCTCGCGGAGCCGCGGCTTGAAGCAAGACATCCGGTACTTGTGGGAGGTTGCTGCGCCCAGCCCCGCGCGGAGGAGGTCTGGGGCCTCGACGGCCGGCTGCTTGGAGCGTCCGCCATGAGGAGAAGGTGCGGGCTGCGGGAGAGTCGAGGGGAGGTGGGAGGGAGCGACCCCCGTCCCGGGTGCGGGGCCCCCGAGGCGGCCCGGGGCGCGGGTGGTATGTCAGCCCGCGCCGAGTGAGGCTCGGGCGCGGCCGGCAGGTTTGGGGAGCGCTGAGCTGGCGCCCGGGCCGAGCGCCCCGGTGCGGCGGAGGCAAGGCCTGCCGCGCACCGGCCCCGGCGGCCGCGGGCTCCCGAGGCTCCCGAGGCCCGGACGCGCCGCGACGTCCGCGAGCCCCGCCCGCCTCTCAGGTGCTGCCTCTTGGCACCTGCGGCCCGTTCTAAGTCCTGCGTCTTTTGTGGTCCGGTTTCTCGCTTCCGTTTAAATAAGGCCGTCGACGGTTCCATTTATCCGTGTCTTCGCGGGCCCGGGCTGCAGGGCTCACGTTTTACCTGACTCGGACAGATAGCCGGCTTTCCTTGCCAGTTCAGGAGCTCCACTAAGGAATTCCTCTCCGGTGGTTTTCACGACGGCCCCGGCCGTGCGGGGGGAGGGGCGGCCGACTTGAAGTAGGGGCCAGACTCGCCACACCGAATGTCACTTGTCTCTTACCCTTTGTCCCCTCGATTTTCCCTCCATAGCACTTACTGCCATTTAGTGGAAGGTTTGCTTATTTACCACCTTTCTTTCGCTCTCAGAAGGTCAACTCCAAAAGGGCAGGGATGTCAGTTTTGTTCTAAAATAAGGATAATTCCTGGGCATAGGGCTCTTGTGTTAAAATGTCTTGTGATAAAAACGTTAACCCTACTTTCTGAAAGGGGCGGGTGAGGCACTGTGATGATTCATTATTAGTTTGTAGTTATTGGTCAGACTGATTGCTCTATGGCTGTAGAAAGTTCTTCCTGCCATAATTACTAATGCCTGTCGTTCTTTTTCAAGTGCTTGCCTGCCGGAGAATGGGAATTGAGTACAAATCGTGGTACCATTGGAAAAAACAGCCAGGGTTTCAAAAAATACAATAAAGCTGTTATTTTTTTAAAATCTGCCACATAATCTGCAGTGTTTTTTGGTTTGTGACTTAACTGAAAAACTTAGCTATGTTTACTGATTTAGCCAAACTGCTTTTACAGAATTAAATGACGTGAGATTTGTAGATCTCAGAGCCAGTTAAAACCAAAACAAATGTCTGTACAGCGAATGGACCGCTAGCCTCCAGCAGATAAATGGGCCACTAACTAAAAGCAGTATGCACACTATTGTTAGAATGTAAAAGTTAACCATCCCTTGGATTTCATTACTTGAACAAATCTTATTGGGCCTGTTGCAAAATGGGTCTTTGGAATTACAAATCTTCTAGAGACCCTTCTCACTCGTGTACTGTTTTCAAAGAATTAAAAAATGTTCCACCCTTCACAACATTCATACTATTTCTTATATCACCCTGAAACCTCTTTCTTTTTTTTTTTAAGATTTATTTATTTATTTGAGAGAGATGGAGAGAATGAGAGATAGCACGAGAGGGAAGAGGGTCAGAGGGTGAAGCAGACCCCCTGCTGAGCAGGAAGCCCGATGCGGGACTCGATCCTGGGACTCCAGGATCATGACCTGAGCCGAAGGCAGGCGCTTAACCAACTGAGCCACCCAGGCGCCCCCACCTTTTCTTTTCATTCCGAAGATTAGCCTTAACTTTGAAAAGACGGCCACAGTCTCACTGCTCCCCCAGCTCTGCTGCCACCGCCCTGGTCCAGGTCACCGTCGTTATCTCTCGCTGTGTTCTACTGGCCTTTTAACTGGTCTCCCTGCTTCTGCCTTGACCTCCTGAAGCTTATTGTCAACACAGGAGCCAAAATCCTCCAATGATTTCGTATTTTATTTTATTTTATTTTTTTTAAAGATTTTATTTATTTGAGAGAATGAAAGAGAGAGAGAATACATGAGAGGGGGGAAGGTCAGAGGGAGAAGCAGAATCCCCGCTGAGCAGGGAGTCCAACGGGACTCGATCCCGGGACTCCAGGATCATGACCTGAGCCGAAGGCAGTCGCTTAACAAACTGAGCCACCCAGGTGCCCTGATTTCGTATTTTAGAGTAAAAGCCTCTCTGCCTTTTACAAAGGCTTCTGGAGTCCTATTGTACTGTACTCCAGTCATACCAAAGTCCTTGCTCTTTCTTGAACCTACCGGGCACTATCCTACCTCAGACGTTGGCATTTGCTGTTCCCTGTACCTAGATCTCTCTTCCCCGACATGTCCCATGGCTTGATTCCTTACCTCCTTTAGGTCTTTGCTCAAAGATCACCTCAGGGAGGACTTTCCACCATTTAATGTAAGATTTGCTTTTTTTTTTTTTTTTAGATTTTATTTGTTTGAGAGAGAGAGAGAACGCAAATAGGGGGAGTGGCAGGCAGAGGGAGAAGCAGGCTCCCCGCTGAGCAGGGAGCCCGATGAGGGGCTCGATCCCAGGACCCTGGGATCCTGACCCGAGCCGAAGGCAGACACTCAACTGACTGAGCCACCCAGGCGCCCCAAGATTTGCTTATTTATCACTTTTCTTTTACTATTAGAATGTGAACTCCAAAAGGGCAGGGATGTCAATTTTGTTCAGTGCTGAATCCCCAACACTTAGAATGCACCTTATATGTAATAAACATTCAGTAGTATTTTTGAATGAATAGATGTTTCAAAAAGTTGTATGATCGTAAGATGCCTCAGTGCATTCTCTGTGCGTAATAATTCTCTTGATGCAATTACATGCCGCCTGTAAGTAGATTCAGATAATTTCCCTAAAAGTACAAATTTGAGATTTTTATTCTTCTAACACATCATCAAAAAGCTGAGGATACTTAGAAAAATACTTCCCAAGGACACAAGCGGTTGTAAAAAGGTCCAATTTTCCCAGTCTCTTGAAACTAAGTCACTGGACTGGAAAAGATCTCAAATGAATGATTTCGTGTGGCATAGAGTTTGATGGGTTTTAGTATATTCACAGAGTTGTGCAATTATCACCACAGTCAGTTTTGGAACATTTTCATCATCCCTTCAAAAAGCCCATACCCATTAGAGGTCAGTCCCTTTTCCCACCTTCCTCCCTCCCCACACCGCAGCCCCACAGGACTACTGATCTACTTCTGTTTCTTATACATTTGCCTATTCTGGATATTTCATATAAATGGAATCCTATGATACATTGTCATTTGTGACTGGCTTCTTTCCCTTGGTGTAATGTTTTCCAGGTTTATTGCCAGATGACATTCCATTGGATAGGTATATCACATTTACCTATTCATTAGTGGATGGCTGTTTTGGGTTGTCTCTGCTTTTTTGGCTGTTATAAATATGTATTTGAGTTTTGTGTGGACATGTTTTCATTTCTCTTGGGTAAATACCTAAGGAATGGAATATCTGGGTTATATGGTAACTCTGTGTTCAACTGAGGAACTGCTAGACTGTTTTTTCAAGGAGGCTTCACCATTTTTACATTCCCACCAGCAGTGTATGGGGGCTTGCGGTTTCTCCACATCCTTGTCAACACTTATTACTGTTTTGTTTTGTTTTTTTTAACTGTCTTTTGTACTATAGCCATCTTGGTGCCTGTGAAGTGGTATCTCTCTGTGGTTTTGATTTGCATTTCACTAGTGATGTTCAGTGTGTTTTCACATGCTTATTGGCCATTATATATCTTCTTTGGAGAGATGTCTATTCAGATTCTTTTCCCATGTGCTAGATTTTATGCTTCAGAAAAGTGATCACTTTACCCTCTGAATGTGTTACAGAGCTAGGCAGCACTGCTTTTAAATCTGTCAATATGTGAGAGCTTATAAACTGAAGGTAGCTGGAAGTTAGAGGCATAATGAGCCTTTGGCAGGAACTCAGGCCATTCATTTTACATTTATTGAACAATTGCTGTGCATTAGGGTCTGGTAAAATGAAGATGGATAAGATCTGGCAGTCCTTGCCCTTGAGTCTATGGTCTACAGGGTGGATGGGGGAGGTTGGGGGGAGAAGTGACTGTGAGGAATCCACAGCTGTCCAAAGAAGGTGATGGCAGGTGGAAGGTAATGTACAGAAGCGTGACATTATCAGCAACTGAGAGCTACACATGGCTGAGTGAGGGGCATGTCCAGGAAATGCTCAGAAGGTCAGTTGGCTGGAGTCTTAAGGAGCGAGCTGGTGAGAGAGATTAAGAGACAAACCTGAAGAGAGGTTTTAGAAAGCCTTTTCTTTGAAAGTGGTTGAAGTGTTTCCTGAGGGCAATGGGAAATTGTGAAGGGAGTAGTTCAGTAGAGGCCTGATTGGATTTTGTTTTCAAGAGAACCTCGCTGCCCTAGCTGTGCCAATTGGCTAGGGTGGGGTGGGCCAGACTGGAAGAGACTATAGAGCGCTCCCTAAAGTATTGCCCCTCAGAGCAGCGCCCCAGGCTGGTCTGGCTCAACGCCTGGGCTTTTGCATTCAGATTGAATATTGACCACAGATGAGATCTTGTAGTTGTTTTTGTTTTTTTTTTAAGATTTTATTCATTTATTTGAGAGAGTGAGGTTGAGCACAAAGGGAGAGTGAGAGGGAGAAGCCCACTCCCCGCTGAGCAGAGAGCCCTATGTGGGACTCATCCCAGGCCCCTGAGATCATGACCTGAGCTGAAGGCAGACGCTTAACCGACTGAGCCACCCAGGCGCCCACTGTAGGTTATTTTTAATAAAATGCAAAGATTAGGATTTTGATTGATGCATTCTTTTGTCTTAAAATTGGAGTGCCAGGGGAGGCTCTGTAGTTAAATTTTAGTTAATTGAGATTAGAATAATTAATATTAGTTGATTGAGATTAAATGCCTTAATTACCTGTTTACATTTCTAAAATGAACAGAGTACAATAAATTCTTTGAAACACTATTCGCTATCTGGGTATTGATACTGGCCATCTGGTATAGGCAACTGGTGTTTATGTGTGCCAAAGCTTTTCTTCATCTAGGAGAGGTGAACTTTTTTTTTTTTTTTGGATTGGGAAACTTTATTTTATTTATTTATTTGACTGAGAGAGACACAGTGAGAGAGGGAACACAAGCAGGGGGAGTGCGAGAGGGAGAGGCAGGCTTCCCACCGGGCAGGGAGCCCAATGTGGGGCTCGATCCCAGGACCCTGGGATCATGACCTGAGCCGAAGGCAGACGCTTAACGACTGAGCCACCCAGGTGCCCCGGATAGGCAACCTTTAAATTGGGATTTCGGGCGCCTGGGTGGCTCAGTTGGTTAAGCGACTGCCTTCAGCTCCGGTCATGATCCTGGAGTCCTGGGATCAAGTCCCGCATCGGGCTCCCTGCTCAGCAGGGAGTCTGCCTCTCCCTCTGACCCTCTTCCCTCTCGTGCTCTCTGTCTCTCATTCTCTCTCTCAAATAAATAAATAAAATCTTAAAAATAAATAAATAAATTGGGATTTCTTGGCTAGAGAAATGTATTAGATGTGAAAATATTCTTGGAGATCTAGGCTGGTGACTCCTAGAACCACTGACTACTCGGAGGCACAAAGGGGGCCAACGAGAGCCTGGAGCCCCCTCGTTTGTGGATAGCACACGAAGAGCTTAAGTGCCTTGTTCTAGGCCTCACTGCTAACTGGTGGCAAAGCACATCCACCTTCTCTGGTGCCAGAGCAGTGTCTTTGTTAGCCATTTGTATCTAAGAAAGGAGAGAAAATTTCTCTGTTTTTTGAATGTTATGTGAAGCAGACTAATGGTTATCATTTTTAAAGTAAACTTTTTTTTAAGATAAAATACAAGGTGCCCAGTTAAATTTGTATCAGATAAACAATTTTTTAAAATAAACTTTTTGTAACTGAAGACTAACATACAGAAATGTGCATAAATCCAAATCCCAACTCCATTTTCACAAAGTCAGCACACACCTATGTAACCAGTGGCCCTTGTATCCCTGCCCAGTCACCATCTCCCAGGACAATGGCAACCACCATTCTGACTGCTGAAAGCATACCTTGGTTTTGCCTGTGTTTGAATTTTATATAAATGGAATCACATAGTGATATATGCTTGCTTGTCTTGCTTGTTTCACTTAAACTGTTTTTCCTTTTCTTCCCCAACATTTTTTTTGTTTTTTCCACATTAGTTTTGTTTTACCCCCTCTTTTTTTTTTTTTTAAAGATTTTATTTATTTATTAGAGAGAGAGAGTGCATGCATGAGTGTGGGGAGGGGCAGAAGGAGAGAGAGAATCTCAAGCAGACTCCATCCTGAGCCAGGAGTCTGAGGCAGGGCTTGATCTCACAACCCTGAGATCATGACCCTAGCTGAAATCAAGCGTCTGAGCCACCTAAGGGGCCTCTTACCTCCTTTTTTTTTTTTTTTTTTTTAGATTTGAGGTATAATTCATTTTACATGTATATTTTGAATTTTGGTCATTGCATACAGTTAGGTAATCACTGTCAAGATCTAGGACCATTCCATCACCATAAAAAAAAGTTTCCTTGTGCCTTTCTGCAGTTGATCTCCTGCTCTGGTCCCAGGCTTTCTTTCACTGTAGTTTTTTTTCCTAGAATTTCATAAAATGAAATCCTATAGTATGTAGTCTTTTTGCATTTGATTTCTTTCATTTAGCATAGTTCACCATAATGTTTCTGAGACTTATTCATGTTGTGTGTTCATTGCTGTATTATTCCATAGTAGGAATGTACTGTTTATTCTGTTGGTGGACATCTGGGTTGTTTCTACTCTTATGCTATTAGGAGTAGTGCTGCCCTGACCCTCCTGTGCGTGTCTTTACCACGTGCATGGTCAGTTCTGCTGCACCCACCCGCATGTAAAAGTGGAACTGCGAGGTTTGGCTTCAGTAGATGCTGCCAGCAGGTTTCAAAGTGGTTGTACCAGTTTCCACTCCAGACCAGAAGTATATGAAAGTCCTGGTTTTTCCGTACCCTCACCAACACTTGATGTTTGTCGTTTGTAATTTTAGCCATTCTGTAAGTCGGTAGTTGTAACTTAAGAACAACAAAATTGTAATGAGTTGCTGGCTGTTTTATAGGAGCAAGGTCTTGTGTTAGGTGGGAGTTTATTTTGTGTGGCTTATCTTTCCTTTTTAAGTAATCTCTACATCCAGCGTGGGGCTCGAACTCACAATCCTGAGATCAAGAGTCCTGTGTTTTGCTGACTAAGCCAGCCAGGCGCCCCAGTCTGTCTTTCTTTTATAATTCTGTATTGTACTGCCATAGGTAGAATTGTTGATGAAAGTCCTGATTCTGAGTATTATTGAGAGGATTGACTTTCCGGGGCACCTGGGTGGCTCAGTTGGTTGAGCGTACAACTCTTGATCTCAGCTCAGGTGTTGATCTTGGGGTATGGGTTCAAGCCCCTCGTTGGGTTCCACGCTGGGTGTAGAGCCTACTTAGAAGAAGAAGAAGATTGAGTTTCCACAGTTTAAGGTGATACTGAATTTTGCTTTGCCAGTGTTGTGGTGTTTTGGAAAAGAGCTGTTAAAGCTGAATGCTTGTTTTCAATTTATTTTATCCTGAGGCCACTGAGAAAGGAGTCTGTTTAGTTTGTGTAAATACTGCTTTTAGTCTGGGGGCAGTGGCTCATGTTCCTGGATTCTCTTTTGCTTTTCAGTGAGGTGCTGGCAGAGGAGTCGATAGTATGTCTCCAGAAAGCTCTGAATCACCTTCGGGAAATCTGGGAATTAATTGGGATTCCAGAGGACCAGCGGTTACAAAGAACTGAGGTTGTAAAGAAGCATATCAAGGTAAGTGAGTCGTACTGGTCTGTTTGCAGTGGGACAGCAGTACGGATACTGGTGTCCCATTGGAGATGGTTGGCAAAGTGCCACTGGAGTGTCACAGGCTCTTCCTTGTTTTGTTTCTATTTAAGTCCTTTCTTAAGAATTTGTAATTATGAAGGTTTTGGTGTTGTTGGTTTGGGGTTTTTTTCCCATTGGCCCCAAACTTTTATGGGACTGTTTTCTCTCTTGTAGGACCTCCTGGATATGATGATTGCTGAAGAGGAAAGCCTGAAAGAAAGGCTCATCAAAAGCATTTCCATCTGTCAAAAAGAGCTGAATACCCTGTGCAGCGAGTTACACGTCGAGCCATTTCAGGTACATGGTGGGGCCTTGGGGGCTCCTGCTTGGTCTGAGATTTAGGAAGGAACTCTGACTTGGGGCTGCAGATGGAAGATTTCCTTTTAGAATCTTGGCCATAAAAAGTGGGCAGAATTTGCCACCTAGTTAATTAGTTCCAGCAACTTTCACTTAGGTAGAGTTGCCCTGTTGAGAGGTGGAACAGCTAATAAGTGTTACAGTCCTTTGATCAAAAACAGCTTCCTCTTGCCATCATTTTGCAGGGAATATAACCTTTTTTTTTTTTTTTAAACTCTAGGGAAAAGCTAGATATAGATGGTACTATGCTATCCTTTCTCCTAAAGAAAATGAAAGGCACTACCTAGGAAGCAAAAGTGACTGGTGATACAAGGGAAAGTTACCAGAAGACCTGCCTTTGTGGGTTTTTTCATACCCAGTAGTTGTATACCACTGAACCAGCCAGAATGGCTACTTGAAAAGAAATGTCTCAAGAGCTGGAGTGTCCGGAGAGCATAGTCAAATTCAGAGCATGCAGGATTATCTGTGTACCAGGCTGAGAGGTTGCTGTTTGGTGGTCCAGCACAAGGCAGGGCTTGAATGAAGACACCAACAAGGATGAAATGAGTAACAAATAGGATAGAGGGTCCAAAATACGTCCTTGGGGAGGACCAGTAAAAATAGTGTTGGGATCATAAAAATGAAAACCAGCGTGGAGCTTGGGAAGGTAATTCAATAGCTGTGAAGGTAGGGCCAGCACAGGATGGCTATAGGATTCTTGGGTCCCTCTCTCTGTTATAGCAAGAACTACCTGGGTATCTAGATGGGAGTCAGCCTAGGAGGGAGTTTCTTCTTTCCTTTTCCTTTTCCTTTCATTTCCTTCCCTATCTTTCCTTCCTTTCAAAAGATTTTATTTATTTATTTGAGAGAGAAAGCACAAACGGGGGGAGGGGGGGCAGAGGGAGAGGGAGCAGGAGCAGACTCCCTGCTGAGCAGGGAGGCTGATTCAGGACTTGATCCCTGGGATCATGACCTGAGCCAAAGGCAGACGCTTAACGACTGAGCCATACCTGGCAGCCAAGAGCAATAGGATAGATCATGACATTAGTGGAACTTCCTGGAATCTACAGAAATGGCATATATATCATTGATTTTAGACAAGTAGTTTCTTTAGTCATTTTCTTTTAACTTTCAATGTGAAATTAGGTGAGAAGTTAGATATACAGTGATATATCTCCCTTAAATTATATGACAGTCTTTATTAGTTCATGAATGTTGAATAAAATTGTGTAAATTTTTAAGTCCTATAACTGCCACTTTTTTCCTCTTGTTAATCAGTTGGAGTAGAGCAAGGACTATTGATTTTTATTGGTTAGGTGGTATTCTTAGGATTATTAGGATGAGCATCATGTTTTGAATTAACTATACTATGCTGTAGCTAACTCAAAGCAAGCTTTCCAAGCACTCTTCACCTCTTGCAAAAGTGTCCTGGTACCTTTCCGTATTCGAGACCTTTCTTAGGGAACCCTGTTCGTGCCATATCTTTTTGGCCATGAGTTGACTTATTTGTAAGTTTAACTTAAAAGTCTGTCATCCTAGGGGCGCCTGGGTGGCTCAGTCAGTTAAGGGTCTGCCTTTGGGTGAGGTGACGATCCCAGGGTCCTGGGATCGAGTCCCTTGTCAGGCTGCCTGCTCAGCGGGGAGTCTGCTGCTCCCTCTGCCCTTCACCTGGGCTCGCTCTCTCTTGCTCTCTCAAATAAATAAAATCCTAAAAACAAAAAAAAAAGGCCTGTCATCCTAGCCCTCTTCCGTTGTCCTTCTCTTCATTTGAAGAGATCCACTTGGAACCTTCTCACAATAGTACATTGTCTCCTGCAGGAAGAAGGAGAGACGACCATCTTGCAGCTAGAAAAGGATTTGCGCACTCAGGTAGAGCTGATGCGAAAACAGAAGAAGGAACGAAAACAGGAGCTCAGACTACTTCAAGAACAAGATCAAGAGCTGTGTGAGGTTCTTTGCATGGCCCACTATGACATCGACAGCACCTCAGTTCCCAGCTTAGAAGAGCTGAGCCAATTTAGACAGCACGTGGCCTCGCTGAGGGAAACAAAGGTAAGCACTTGCATTCATACTTCCTAAAAGTCAGTTTTGACTTTCCTGTAGGTAGGTACTTGTAATCATTTTATTTTATAGGCGTCTAGACATGAGGAGTTTGTCAACATAAAGAGACAGATCATCCTGTGTATGGAGGAATTAGATCACACCCCAGACACAAGCTTTGAAAGAGATGTGGTGTGTGAAGATGAAGATGCCTTTTGTTTATCTCTGGAGAATATTGCAACACTACAAAAGCTGCTTCGGCAGGTAATGACTGCTCACATTATGGCCTGGGATCTCCATAGTGTCCAGAAATTTGAAAAAACTGACAGTTTTGTCCTTCTGTCTTAAATAAGCCAGTGTAAGTTAAAAGAATGAGGGAGGATAAAGATAGTAAATGATGTATAACCTCAGGGAGTTTTTTGTCTTTTTTTCTTTTTCTAACAAAAAATGTATTTGTGGCTCTAAGAATGAAATTGAAATCTTGGATGAAATACTATTAGTCATGTGAATTGGCTTAGTATTTAATTTTTTTTAATAATCTGAATCCTTATTCTTGGGGCTTGAGATCCTACCATAATGGCAGCCATACAGTTTGTGTTCAGAAGTCATGAAAACACACTTCTTCACAATCTAGTAAAAGTGCTTCTTCTCTCTGTGGGTCCAGACATTTCTTTGCGGGAAGCCACAGGGCTGGCCTTCTTTGTGCTGCTCTCTGCCATAACCATTGGCTCTCCTTGCTACAGCTGGAAATGCGAAAATCACAAAATGAAGCAGTGTGTGAGGGTCTGCGAGCTCAGATCCGAGAGCTCTGGGACAGGTTGCAGATACCTGAAGAAGAGAGAGAAGCTGTGGCCACGGTTATGACCGGGTCAAAGGCCAAGGTCAGGAAAGCGGTAAGAAATCCAATGGGCACTGGGTCAGTAGTCTCTACGAGTGTCAAGTGTATTGTCTTCAACAGTGTCTGCCTCGAGCAAGCCTGTTTTTTGTTTTGTTTTAAAGATTGATTTATTAGAGAGCGTGTGCACAGAGTGTGCAAGAACACGAGCGGGGTGGGGGGTAGAGGGAGAGAAGCAGACTCCCTGCCGAGCAGGGAGCCCGACTCAGGGCTGGATCCTAGGACCCCAGGATCATGACCTGAGCCGAAGGCAGTCGCTTAACTGAGCCGCCCCGGGGCCCTGCGAACCTGCCTTTAAGCCAGCGTTCGACAAGGATGGCTGTAGCCTGCCCATCTTCTGTCCTTTGTGTGCATTTCTTAGGTTTCTGGCTCCCAGGATATCAACGTTATAAAAAGTGTTGACTGGGGCACCTGGGTGGTTCAGTGGGTTGGGTGTCCAGCTGTTGAGTTTGGCTCAGGTCATGATCTCAGGGTCATAGGATCAAGCCCCACGCCCAGCTCGGAGCCTGCTTGGTATTCTCTCCCTCTCTGCCACTCTGTGCGTGGGCATGCACACTCTCTCTTAAAAAAAAAAAAAAAAAAAAGGGTTGATTTACCTCTGTGGCTTTGTGTTATAATTTTATTTAAACGTTGCGGGGGGGCTTTTGAACTTTTGTATTCCTATGTGAAAGTAAATGTATGGCAAGCACCTTTACCAGGTCTCTTTGTTACAGCTGCAATTGGAAGTGGATCGGTTGGAAGAACTGAAGATGCAAAACATGAAGAAAGTGATCGAGGCAATTCGAGTGGAGCTGGCTCAGTACTGGGACCAGTGTTTCTACAGCCAGGAGCAGAGACAGGCTTTTGCCCCCTACTATGCGGGTTCGTACACAAGCAGAGGTCCTCCTGAGGGCACGTATTTCCTCTACCAAACAGATACAGCTGCCTTTTCAAGCCCTGTAGCATAAATTGCCATTCCTGTATAATTAATATTTGCAAAAGCCACTAGGAAATAAAGGGCCTCTTGATTTCTGAAGTAGTAAATTACTGTAGCCTGTAGTTGCGAGGCTCAAGTCTTTCAGGTGCTTACTCCACGCCAGGTGCAGTGTTAGACCCTTAACACTATTATCTCAGTTAATCCTCACCTCAAGAGAGGAGGACATGAAGGCACATAAATGTTCAGCAGCTACACTCAGAGGCACACAGCAGGTCAACAGCAGAGCCCATGTTTGAGCCCGTGGAATCCATCCCCAAGAGCTCAACGGAATTCGAGTCTGACCTGAACGGAGTATAAAGATGAGATTGTACTAAGTTTTTAGACATCTTCTGTGAGCAGGATGGAAAGGAAGACTGTGAAGGAAACCTAGAACAAGGCAAGAAGTGACACAGAACTTTGAGAATCTTCGTCATCGGAACCTACACCCTAGCCCCTACTCCCTACTCGCCCCAGACTGATCATGTGACAGAGCTGGCTTTACATCCACAATATGTACTTAATCATGTGTCATTTGTACTATAAGGAAGAAAAACTGATTTCCATCTTGGGAGGATGAGGATTAGGGATTAGTAAATTGGGATACTAAACACTAGAGGAATTTTTTAAAACTTCTGGGCCTGTATCTTGCAGAGGACTACACGGAAAATCTGCTCCAGCTCCATGATGCTGAGATCGTGCGGTTAAGAAACTACTATGAGGTTCACAAAGAACTCTTTGAAGGTGTCCAGAAGTGGGAAGAAAGCTGGAGACTTTTCTTGGAGTTTGAGGTACCACCCTAGCTTCTGTTTCCCTAGAGTGCAATCAAGGGTTAAGGCCTGCCCTGCAGAGTCAGAATCCACTCTCCTTTGCTCTTTACCAGGTTTCTAATTTGTAAAGCTCATCGGTGGAAGCCTAGAACTAAATTAATGCCTTCAGTAAGGTAGAATTCTTGCGTAAAGAAGTCCAGAGGTAGAGCGTGCAGGGCAGGTCCGGCTGCAGTCAGCGGTGTCCCAGGCTTCTCCAGCCCAGAAGGGGTGGACGCTATCCTCAGGTTCAAGGTAGCTCTAGAGCTCCCACTGTTGAGCTTCAAGCACTGCCCCTCCAGCCCCTCTGAGGGCTCTTCCCAGCCCCTCTGCTTGCACACCACACCAGCTGCCGGTGAGGCTGGGGGAGCTTCCGCCACAGATAAGTTCAGGTTCCCCGGACAAAGGAAGGAGAGGGCGGATGTGGGGGCAGGCGGTTATTATTTGCTACCATTCCAACTTCTGTCTTCTTAGAAAGTTGCCTGGGTATTAGGGCACATTTGTATAGTCTGAATTCCTTTTCTTCTGACAGACTTGGCACTCACAGCTTTCCTCAGAGCTTTTCTGAGCCTCAGGGCTGGGACTTGGATGAGCCAGACGAGACATGCAGGGCACATGGAGACTCCTTCTCAGAGCTTGAAAGGGACCATTAGAGAATCTGAGTTCAACTCCTTCAAGGTTACAGGAGGGAAACGAGGACTCAAATGGAGAGACCTGTATGAGATCTCACAGCTGTTTAAGAATAGATGTCCTACTGTTACTCCTTAACTTGTTGTTGAAAGCAAGAGGGAAGGGTAGTAAATGTCAGTAAAGAGCCAGATAAGTAAGTCTTGTGGACATGCCAGTATTTAAGGAAAAATAAAAGCATTACCATCCCCTGTAGTTAGTGTTTATGGGCAGTTAGCAATCAAGTGGTCTGGAAGGGGGAACAATTTCTTACAAGCTTTGCCTCCAAATTGTCAAGATTGTTTCTAAAGTTTTCTGATGATCTCCAATTTTTGAGTGTATAAATCTAACTTATATGTACAAATTAACATGCTTAAATTACTGTTCTGGTAAACTGTGTACATGATACAGTAACAAAAAAACAGAAGAGGAAGCCTAACACTTTACATGTTTACTTGCCTATTTTGTGAGTGTTAATTTCATAAAAAAACGGATTATAAACCACCTAACTGGGCACATTTAAGCTGCATTGTCAATATGCTAGAAGTGAGTGGGCAAGTAGGGGTGCCACCACCAAGCCCTCCCGAGTGTAGACCTCTCCCTTGTCCCTCCACGTATATTCCCTATAGATGACAAGTCATCTTTGACATCTGAACCAAGGAAGGGAGCCAGTGACATTGTGCATTACATATTAAAGCCTATCTTTTATTTTTTTAAAGATTTTATTTATTTATTTGAGAGAGGGAGAGAGCCACGGGGAGAGGCGAGGGAGAAGCAGACTCCCTGCTGAGCCAGGAGTCTCAAGCGGGGCTCAATCTCAGGACCCCGTGATCATGACCTGAGCTGAAGGCAGATGCTTAACCCACTGAGCCACCCAGGCGCCCCCTCTCTTGCTTTTAGATTAAAAAGGAAACCATAGTTTTCTTACTCGCCAGTGGATGATCTTGCATACGCCTGTGGTGCTCACACCCCAGTCTCCTGTCTTAGGACACCACCATTTCTCACGCTGACAGTGGATGGGAATGCAAAACTCTCTGAGTCTCCTTAGTATGTATCAGTTTATGAGAGCAAGGAATCTTAGCAGTAGTTACTAGTCTGATCATCTCAGGGCTTACTCTAATTAAAAGGTATTTTTTACAGAGAAAAGCTTCAGATCCAAGTCGATTTACAAACCGTGGAGGAAATCTTCTAAAAGAAGAAAAGCAACGAGCCAAACTTCAAAAAACACTCCCCAAGGTAACATCGCCACTAAGAGTTTTTGGTGCTTGGCTACAAAATACCTTACTTTTTGTATAGCCTTTGCTTTCAATTATCTTGGCCCAGAACGGTCTTCTTTTCCAAAGCTTGGGCAAGGATGGTAAGTATATACCGAGCCTTCCTGGTGTAAGCACCTGAATATCAAGGTTTCTTAGCTTTCTAGGGCTGCCATAGCCAGGTGCCACAGACTTGGGGGGCTTCAACAACAGAGATTTATTTTTTCACAATTCTAGGGGCTAGAAGTCTGAGATCAAAATATCAGTAGGGCTGGTTTCTTCAGAGGTCTCTCTCTTGACTCGTGGCTGACTGGCCCTCTCCCTGTATCTTCACATGGCCTTCCTTCCGTCTGCATCTGTATCCAGATTTTCTCTTAACAAAGCCACCAGTCACGATGGATTAGGACTCACTTGAATGACCTCATTTTTTTTTCCCCCAAATGACTTCAACTTCATTACCTGTATGTCCAAAGAAAGCCACATTCTGAGGTACTGGGGGAGTTAGGACTCAAACATGAATTTGGGGAGGACACAATTCAGCCTATAACATAAGGCAAGCTTTTGAGAAAGTGCTGTGGGCTTCGTTACTGTTTTTTTTTTTTTTTTTTTTAAAGATTTTATTCATTTATTAGAGAGTGCAGGGTGGTGGGGCGGAGGGAGGGAGAAGCAGACTCCCCACTGAGCAGGGAGCCCGACACAGGACCCGGAGATCATGACCCAAGCCGAAGGCAGACGCCCAACTGACTGAGCCACCCAGGCACCCCTACTGTTGTCCATTTTAATAGTAGTAGTAATTGTTAGCATTTATTAAGTGCCAGATACTGTTGCCAAGTGCTTTCCATTTGTTAATTCATTTAGTTGTCACAACATCCTTATGAGGTTGGTATCATTTCCATTTTTATAGATGAGGAAATGCCCTGGGAACTTCAGTAACTTGCCCACCTTTTCATAGCCAATAAGAGGTAGATTCCAGATCAGAACCCGGATAGTGGTGCTCTTAACCCACACTGCCTATTTCATGTTGTTCTTCTTCCCCCACTGCTGCCTCCAGCTTTAGGCACCAAAACCCTAGTTAGACTCTGGGTTCTTGCCTTTTCCCACCTTCTTGTGTGTTATGAATAAACCATTACTAGGCTTTACTTTCTGGTCACTCTGACCTGTACCCACATGGGTCCAGCAACTTGACGATCAGCTCATGGTCTCTGGGGTGGGGTCCTCCTTTGGGAGAATCATTTCGTTCGAGCTTCATACCAAAGATTTGAAGTAATTAGCATGTCCTTGTCTATGATCCCAGTTGGAAGAGGAGTTGAAGGCACGGATTGAAATGTGGGAACAGGAGCATTCGAAGGCATTTGTGGTGAATGGGCAGAAATTCATGGAGTATGTGATGGAGCAATGGGAGATGCATCGACTGGAGAAGGAGCGAGCCAAGCAAGAAAGAGTGAGTGAGCACAGTGGGGGCCAAAGGGACAGGGGAATGTGAGCAGCCCAGGGTCTCTGTGAGGAATGAGGGGTGCCTGAAGAGGTCGCCCTGGGTACAGGGACTGGGCACTTGATTTCTGGCCCTGCTTCTGTCCCATCTCAGGCCTGTTCCCTTCCTGAGATTTATCACTGTTGCTTCTGACTTCCACACAGCAACTCAAGAACAAGAAGCAGACAGAGACAGAGATGCTCTATGGCAGTGCTCCCCGAACCCCCAACAAGCGGCGAGGACTGGCCCCCAACACACCAGGCAAAGTGCGCAAGGTGAACATGAGGCTTTGTGAACCACTCTTTACGAGGGGCTGTTGAGGCTAGGGCTCTTGGCCACCTCTTGCCTCCTGCCCTACAGATGGGAGAGGGTTTGGGGGCCTTCCGGTTTGGGTTCCTCTAAAAGTATGAATGGAAGACTATATTTAGCCCCAGCAGCAACTCAATAATGACAGTCATGGAGTGGTCAGCTCGGATGTGTGCTTGTTGTTGAGGTCTTGGGTTAAACTCAGGGGAGACCATACTGCCAACAGTCTGTAATGATGATGACCTTCAACGGTTCATCCTGGAATTCCAACAAGTGACCGTGGTATTCTGTGAAAGACTTTCATGTTTAGTAAATGGAATATTCAGTACTCCTCAATCTCTGGAGCAGGAAATTGGGGAGGATTTTAACCTTTTCTTTGATAAATGAAGTAGAGCGTTATTTCCCTTCTCTTTCCTCAGCTCGTACTTTCTAACACATAGACAGTTAAAGAATCACCTGCAGGGGCGCCCGGCTGGCTCAGTCAGTAGAACATGTGACTCTCGATCCAGGGACCAGGAGTTCAAGCCCCATGCTGGGGCTAGAGGTTACTTAAAGAAAAAAAAAATCACCTGCAATAAACTCCAAGGGGACCACTGAGAATATTTGTTTTTCCTGATTTTTTTTTTTTTAAAGATTTTATTTATTTGAGAGAGAATGAGAGATAGAGAGCATGAGAGGGAAGAGGGTCAGAGGGAGAAGCAGACTCCCTGCTGAGCAGGGAGCCCGATACGGGACTCGATCCCAGGACCCTGGGATCATGACCCAAGCCGAAGGCAGTCGCCCAACCGAGCCACCCAGGCGCCCCTTTGTTTTTCCTGATTTTAAGAAAGCTTTTAAATAATGTATTTTTACAAAATAGAGATTACATATAATTTGGATTTCTGCCTTTTCCCTACTTGGTATTGGTTGTGATTTTTTTCATAGCATCAAATATTCTTCAAATGCACACTCATTATTAGCTGTACATTCTATCCTCTTGACATGCTGTCATTTATTAAACTAGCTCCCTGTTGTCACATGGTTTTTAAGGATTTTAAAGATTCATTATCTTAAAGAGTGTGCATGCCCATGCTCAAGGCGGGGAGAGGGGCAGCGGGAGAGGGAGAGAATCCCAAGCAGGCTCCATTCCCAGCACAGAGCCCAGCCCGGGGCTTGATCCCACAACCCTGAGATCACGACTTGAGCCGTAATCGAGAGTCAGACACTCAACTGACTGAGCCACCCAGGTGCCCCTACCTAGAGTTTATTATTTTTTTTTTAAGTTTAGTTTTATTGAGTAAAATTGGCACATAAAGTGTATGCGTTCATGTGTGTACACCGTGAAGCCACCACCACAGTCAAGCCTGTGAACACAGCCATGGCACGCAGAGTTTCCTCCTGCAGCTTCGTGTTCCCTTTGCTCCCCCACAGCAGCCACGGACTTGCTGTCACCACTGACTAGTTGGCATTTCCTCACATTTTATATACGTGCAATTATACAGTATGTATTCCTTTATGGTCTGGCTTCTTTCATGTAGCATAATTTTTGTGAGATTCATCTATGTGGCTGCATATGTAATAGGTCACTCCTTTTTAACGGGGGCCAGTATTCCATTGCATGACTCGACCACGATTTGCTTATGTGCCTGTGGATGGACATTTGGCTTGTTTGTGGTGTTTGGGCTATTACACATAAAGCAGCTGTATTTGTACATTGGTCTTTGGCTATCTGCTTTCATTTATCTTGTATAAATACCTAATTTGATAGATTTAGAAACAAAATGGCTGTACCATTTTATAGTTCAATCCAGATAGAAATCGGCTTTGAACACTTATCACAGGTTTCTTCAAAGCTCTTAACCATGGAAACCCATCTTAGACTGTTTCCTATATTCCTTTCTCTCTAGTGTAGGGATGGGCTGCTGAGCATGTTAAATATGTTCTGTCCTTCTGTTCTCCTTAGCTGAACACTACCACCATGTCCAACGCTACGGCCAACAGCAGCATTCGGCCGGTCTTCGGGGGGACAGTCTACCGTTCGCCCGTGTCTCGACTCCCACCTTCTGGCAGCAAGGTTAGTATGTTCTGCGTACAAGGACATCACCAACACAGCTACAGCCTATTTCGGGGCCCCACCTGCTTGTTCCAGTTTCTAAGATCCCTGGATTCAATTTTCACTGAGATGCTGAGAGTAAGCTAGCTTATCTGTCAAAAAAACAAAAAGAAAAATGGTCATTCTGAATCCCAGTAGTATCATGGGAATCACTGGGATGTAATTCTGTGGGCTCAGTTCAAAGCCTGGTCTTCAGCTGCTGCTGAGTGAGGTCCGACGACCCTGGTCCACGAGACAGTCAGGTACGCTCACGTAAGGAGAGGTAGGGAATATGGGCTAAATGCGTCTTCCAAGTATTTTACAGACTGGGCTCAAGAGAGGTACTTTGCAAACCATTAAGAATTCATATTTTTTTTTAAACCACAAGTAGAGACATGAATAACATAAAGACATTATTAGCCTTTGGCCACTTGCTCGCGCAGACGTGTGCGTGTGTGCGGGTATGTGTGGTCATTATGAGCATGATGCACGGATTTCTCTCTTTTCTTTGCAGCCAGTCACCACTTCCACTTGTTCGGGGAAAAAAACACCCCGTGCTGGGAGGCATGGAGCCAACAAGGAGAACCTGGAGCTCAATGGCAGCATCCTGAGCGGTGGGTACCCCGCCTTGGCCCCCCTCCAGCGCAACTTCAGCATTAATTCTGTTGCCAGCACCTATTCTGAGTTTGCGGTAATTCACCTTTTCTAATATCTACCAGTCTCTGGGGAGCACACAGTTGGGGCAGAGCGGGTTTCTTCCCCAGGGCACCCAGACGATTAGGACAGTTCTTTGGAGGCTGAGAATCCCTTTCCTGCCTTGACCGTGGCATGGGGTCGGGTGGTTTAAGGGGATATATGAGAAGGAAGTTGGCAGTAGCAACTCGACATTTAACCTGGATCCTTCTGCTTAAGAAATACCATTCCCTGGCTGCAGGAGGTGACCCTTCTGATCACTGCCCTGGTGCTCTCTTGGTGGAGTTCTTGGTAATTGTCTTAATTCTTTGTCCTTAGAAGGATCCGTCCCTCTCTGACAGCTCCACTGTTGGGCTTCAGGTCTGTATGGCAATCCCTGCATGTCCCATGTCCGTTTTCCAAACTCATCTGTCACATCTGCTGGCTTAATTCCCATCTGGGCACGGAGCTACACTAACCAATCTCAGCTGTACTATCATAGAACCTTTTTTTACAAAGGAAGCAGGAGTTCCTAACGCAGAAATCAAAAATACTTTCTGGTTTAAGTCCCAACGGCCTAACCTGCTGATTAACACCTGTTCAGACTTGAATTGGATTCTCAGCCCTACCTAAAGTCAGGCAAAGTTTTTTTATGATGTATTTCACACCAGAAGACCTTCACCCTCCCCAATTGTGACATCAGAGGCCTCCAATGTGCTGGAAAGAATAGAGGCCCCATCACGTGGGGAGGGGAGCCCCAGCTGTGTGCTATCATGAGGTTCTTGGCCTGTGTGCTGATTATTTCCTGGAGTATATGCCTTACTAACCCCCTGGGGCTGAACTGCCAACTTTCTGTCTACTGTGAGCTAGCCACTGCTTATTTCCTTGCCTCTACCTGTTTCTACCACATTGAGCTGCTCAAGCATACATGCGGCTCTGAAAAAGTGATTTTTTTCCACTCTTCAGTTCCTACTAACCTACTCCATCTTCACTAACAAACACGTAACTGCAGTGCCCTTTACTTAACAATGTGTGCTCTCTCTTCTCTGTGAGGGGAGGCTGCTCCTCCCCCTTGGGAGCCATGGTGCCAACTCTCTTGCTGCTGCAGACGGAGAATGGGGCAGGTGCCCAAGGCTGGAGCTCGGAAACTAGCTTCATACTATGGCACTTTTTTCAAATTATATGATTGGTATGGCTTTATTTACAGAAGTGTGTCACTCTGGCTAGCTGACTGCTGGACAGAGGGTCCTGCTTTCTCTTGCTTGCTTAGCCAAGCCCCGTGTCATCCACTTGGGGCTTAAATGTACCTGCTTATCTTTATGGCAAGGCCTAGGGAGGGAGGTTCATCTGGTTTGGGTTGCTCTGGCTGGTAGACTCTGCCAGGCAGTCCCAAAGCCAACAGACTAACCTCTACTACCACTAACCTCTCTTACTCAGTGGTCATTCGTGCTTTATCTTCTCCTATTCCATGTGCTCCAGCATGAGATCAAATCACCAGCAGGTTACAAGGCCCTCAGCCCCAGGGATTGGTAGATAGATGGTCTGGCCCACTGCTTTATAAAGGGCTCAAAAGACCAAAGGTTGTTGCCTGCCTAGCTTGATAACTCCAGAGAGTACTTTGTGAAGTGTAAGGGATTTCTGTGAGGTTTTAACAGAATGTACTGGCTAAGGGAAGGGGTCCAGGGTCACCATGTGCACATGCTTCCTCTGTGACTAATAGAATGGTGCTCAGAGTCTCTCATCTGATGTTCCTAACACAACCCGTGCCGGGGAGGGACCTGGGGCTCGGAGGAACACACGCCCGTGCACACGAGGGCGGGGCGCGTGGGAGGGGGGCTGTACTGCCACTGACAGTGTTTATTTTTCAACAGCGAGAACTTTCAAAGGCTTCCAAATCTGATGCTACTTCTCGAATCCTCAATTCGACCAACATCCAGTCCTGAGAAGCCCTGATCAGTCAGCTGCTGTGGCTTCCTGTGCTTAGACTAGATCTGATTATACAGGGGGGGAATCTTTCTTGAGGGTAGGTGTGCTTGAAAATCTGGTTCCACTGCCACGGGCCTCACGACAGAAGTGAATGAGAGGCACAGATGAAAATCCATCAGAGGTTTAGTGGGTCTTCAACAACCTGATTTTGTTTTGACCCAAGAAATACATTAAGACTTAGTTGATAGCGGTAAGTGCAAATTTTAGTGGATGGAACCTGATTTCTTTGCCCCATAATTCTACTTGCTGAAGCACGATCAAGGGCTTGTTGTATGTCACCGTTGTGTAGGAAAATGACTGTGCCCGTCCTGGGGGCATGGGACAGGAAGTCATGTTGGCTCGTACCCTTAGAATTAGTAATTGACACTTTTTTTGCTTAGGGATGTTCCATGAATGCTCTAGCTATGAGAGCTTTGCTCTCACCTAAAGCTCTGTCTCCACCACACAGGATAGCCTTCCTCCTGATGAGGATGTCTGTGTCAGAAGGTGAGATGGCCTGACCTACTGCCAAAGAGGTGACAGGGAGGCTGGGAGCTCCTTTGTTCAGTTGTGTACAGTTAGGTAGTTACACAGTGCAGTGTGCTCTGCGGGGTGTGTGTGTATGAACACACACGCTTACCTGAGCTCCGGTTCCGTAGTTTTCTCTGGGTCGAGGCCCCCCGCCCTGTGCCCACCGTGCTGGAGTTCGTCTGGCCCCTGCACCTGGCAGTCACTGTGGGAGGCGGTCGGGACGGGTTGGGCCATTTCTGTCCCGGAGGTCTGGACCTTTGCACATATCAGTCCTGGGCAGTTGCTCCTGCTACAGCGTCCACATCCTCACCTGCTCTATCAATCACTACTGCTCTCCCCGAAGCACTATTTATTCTCACTCTGCCTGGGCCAGTACGACTGTCAGCACGTTCGATGGTTCTTGAAAGCGTAGCAGCACGGGTTGGTTCTGTGTCCGCCATCCTGCTTAGACGTATACATGTCCTGTTTTTAAAAATATAAATATATTCTTGAAAATAAATTAATGTGTATACTTACGTTTCAAAAAGATACATGGTGGTGTTTTTCCTTTTTTCCCCCAAATCACTTTTTGGTCAGTTTGGTCTGTGGAAAACAGAGAAGACTAAAAACATACAAGAAATGTTTAGTCAGGAGTGTGATTTTTATATTCTCTTATGCACTTATTTCTAAATTAAAAATATTTATTTTGAAGGGTGCCTGGGTGGCTCAGTTGGTTGGGCGACTGCCTTCGGCTCAGGTCATGATCCTGGAGACCCGGGATCGAGTCCCGCGTCGGGCTCCCTGCTCAGCAGGGAGTCTGCTTCTCCCTCTGCCCCTCCCCCCCTCGTGTTCTCTCTCTTTCTCTCTCAAATAAATTTTTTTAAAGATTTACTTATTTTGAGAAAAAAATCCAACTCCTGATATATAAAGGGGCTGAAGTCATCTTAGGAAATTTCTGGCTGCATTGTTGTCTGCCCTTAACAGGATTAGCTTTTATAGGTGAGGTTGCCTGGCCCTTTGGTTTTTTTAACAGCCTTTATTTTGATTAGAAAATACACATTGGAAGTGTATACTTGGATAAATTTTGATGTCGTATATGTACACCTGTGAGACCATTGCCCCAATCGAGTCCTGTTTTCCTAGGTTTTGCAAAAATCTCCCAGTCTGTGGCTTTTTTAAGTGTTTCTGAAGAAGAGGGTTAACTTTGATAAAGTCCCATTTTTCTTTAGATTGTGCGTTTGTTCTAAGAAATCATTACCTAACCCAAGAGGTAACGGTTTTCTAGAAGTTTAAAATTTCAGGTTTTGCATTTATGTCTGTGATCCATTTGGGCTCTGTGTATTTATGTGTATGGCTCCAAGTCTGACTTCAAGTTCATTTTCTTTGCCTACAGATAACAAGTTGTCTAGCAACATTAGTTGAAAAGGCTGTCCTTTCTCCACTGCACTGCCTTTGTACCCTGTCAAAAATCAGCTGTATCCATTTGTCCTAATGCCCATACTCTATGGTCTTGATTACTGAAGATTTAATATTAATGCTTGAAATGAGGTAGTGTTAGCTTTCTAATTTTATTTTTTCATGTCTATCACTTAAGTAGGCTCCACACCCCACGTGGGACTTGAACGCATGACTGGGATCAAGAGTCGCATGCTCTACCTACCGAGCCAGCCAGACGCTCACACCTTTAAAAGTCACTTTGGCTGTTCTAGGTCCTTTGCATTTTCATATGAATTTCAGAATTAGCTTGTCAGTTTCTAAAAAAAATCGAGGATTATTGAATCTATAGAAGAATTCAGGGAGAACTGACATCTCCATTTTAGATTTTCTCTTACCGATATTTTATAGGTCATCTATACAGATCTTTCACATCTTTGTCAGATTTATTCCTAAGTATTTCATATTTCTTGATGCTACTGTGATATTCTTAAATTACAATTCCTGGTTGTTGCCTGCCTCTAGGAATACAGCTGATTTCTGTATATAGCTCTTGTATCCTGCTTGCTAAACTCACTCATTAAAAGAAAAATGAGAGGCACCAGGCTGGCTCAGTGGGAGGAGCATGCAACTCACGATCTTGGGGTTGTGGCTTCGAGCCCCATGATGAGTGCAGAGATTACTAAAAAGAAACTTTCAAAGAAAAATTACCACATTTGGCACATTCCTTCATGGCTTAGCCATGAGACAACTCTGTCTCAGCCTCTACTTCTTGCTTGTGTGGAGCCTGAAGACCAGCTTTCTCAGGCTTTTCTGAGCATCCTCACCAGCCCTAGGTGTAGGCTATGCTTCCTCAGTTCCTCAGTACACTGTGGGAGCTTTAGAAGGCCTTTCCCTACGTATCTCCTTTCCCAACTTCTTTCTTCCCAGGCTTTTTTGTATGTCTGTTGCCTGTCCCAACTATCGTCCCTTCTCCAAGCTGCTGCAGCCAATTCTTGTGCCAATAAATATTTTTGGCAAAAGCCACCCAGCCTTGGGAACACGGAGTCTGGCAAAACAAAGGCCAGCTCTTACGTTGGTCTTTCCGGGAAATGCCAGAGAGGTCAAAATCCAGTCACAGTTCTTTGAGAAGGACTGTATTCCTCCCTCTGGTGCCACAGACCTGCACCAGAAATGCGAGCTCTGGTCGTCGTTATCCACCCCCCACGCCCCACTGCCCCCCCCCCCCCCCGCCATCGGGTGTGGTTGGCAGGAGATTTAAAAAGGTCATAGGGCACTTACCCCGCAATGCAGCAGCTTCTTCTCAGGGGAAGTTTCTGACTGGATTTCGAGAGTTCTGCACAAGTTGACTCTGACAGTTTCTGCCAGTCCATTAGCTGCTTTTGTAGAAAGAGCCCTGGAGTTCCCTACACCACTTTCAGTGACATCCCAGTTCTCAATGTTTATACACCTAAAACAGCTTCAAAATACACAAAGCAAAAACCAATAGAACTGAAAGGAAAAAACGGACAAATTTACCGGATAAAAAATAGTCAAGGTTCTAGAAGAAACTAATCCCACCAATAACCAGCTGGACCTAATTGCAGAACACCATCCAGCAACAGCAGAAAACATGTTCTTTTGTAAAGTGCATATGGAATAGTCACCAAAATAGACCATATTCTGGGTCATAAGCCTTAACAAATTTTTTAAAGATTTATTTTAGAGAGCCCATGTACACAGAGGGGCAGAGGGAGAGAATCCTCAAGCAGACTCCCCCCTGAGCGATGGAGACCAACTCGGGGCTCGATCTCACAACCCATGAGGTCACGACCTGAGCCAAAAGTAAGAGTTGGATCTTTACTCACTGAGCCACCCAGGTGCCCCCAATTTTTTTTTTTTTT